AACACTGATCAAAGATGTTGACAGCTGGGGTGACCACAGACAACAACAGGGAGCTGAGGAACTCCATGGGAGGTCTTGGAAATGAGGTTCCCCTCCAGCTGCTAACTTATTTAGAGCCTGGCTGACTTGTTTTTTTCCAAGCATAAGCCAGAGTTACTTAGTGAGATCAAGGTTAGCATCTTCCTGTGTTAAGACTTCCTTAAAACAGAATGTTCACAAGGATCCCCAATTCATTGTAAACAACTTCTACCCCCCTAAATTGAATATATACACATATGTGTGTGTATGTGTGTGTATGTATGTGCATGTGTATGTTTGTGTGTGTATTATGAAGGACACATATATATGCACATATGTGTGTATATACATTATGAAGGGCACATATATATATATATATATATATATAATGAATGGCATATATATGTATATATGTATGTATACATATTATGAAGGATATAAAAATGTGGAACTGTTTTGTGAAAAAATAGTTTTTTAAATAAAGGCTTGTTCTATCACAGCCTGATCTCGAATCTTCCATTCCGCTGTCTCTACCTCCAAAGTGCTAGGTTTCAAGCCTGTACCACTACTCCTGTATTTTTAAGTGCTGCTGGAGTTGAACCCAGGGTTCCTGAATACTCAGTAAGCACCCTAACCTAAGCTTTGCTCTCAACCCCATCATGGACAGGTTGTTATAAAGAAATCTTTACATTTCCTATGGCGTTGGGAAGAATCCCTTACACCACTGTCTTTACTGAGTCATTCTTCATAGCATCGCTCAGACATTTTTACCTATGTGAAGATGTCACTGACATTCCTAAATACAATCTCTGCAAGGATGCATGCACATGTGAATAAGTGCCTGTGTGTGTGTGTATGTGTGTGCACGCATGTTTTGCATGTGTACATGTTCCCATGGAGAACAGGAGTCAATCTTGGGTGTCACTCCTCAATCACAGTCTACTTTTTCTTCTGAGACAAGTTAACTCACTGACTTGTGGCTTGCCAAGTAGGCCAGACAGGCTGGCCAGTGAGTTCTGGAGCTCTGCCTGTCTCTACCTCTTCAGTTCTGAGATTACAAGCACAGACCACACTCACACCTTGCCTCCCTCTCCTCCTGAATCACCAGAGTTGGAGATGCTTATACTTCCTAAGAATTGGCTCCTGTCCTCCACTGTCTTCCTGTCTAGTAGGTATCATGCATATGCAAAGGACTAACAAAAATGTGACCTGTCTGTATTAGATGACAGTACTTCAAAAGATAGGCATCCCAGAAGTCATTTCCTCCTCGTATGGTCTGAGAAGCTTTCATAGATGATTGGAATGGAATTGGAGTTGAACACTGAGTCTTGGAAATAATTTTAAGAAGAAAAGAGGGGCAGAAATAGATCATTCTCAGAGGGGAGTCTTGAAGGACATGCAGCAAAAAAAATATGAATAAATGAAATTGGCTGGATCTGAGAGTTCATGTGAGGTAATAATTGTGATATTGCCGGAAAAGTAGATGAGAGTTATATTGGGAAAGGACCTTGTGGTAGTTGGATAGCTTCCATTTAATTCAGAAGGGCAGCAGTAATATGTGCACTCACATACACACACACACACACACACACACACGTTGTGTTGGAGATCAAGTATAAGGCCTTAAACATGCTGAGCAAATGTTTTTGTTTTGTTTTGTTTTATTTTATTTTATTTTATTTTATTTATTCGATTATTTATTACACAGTCCAAACGGGCCTGGAACTCTGGCCAGCCCTCGTGCCTCATCTTCCCAAGTGTTGGGATTTGTAGCTGTGAACCCGAAGCTTAGTTCCCTTATTTTAAATTAGTGTAGAGAGGTGATCATGGCAGGCCTAGGAGGAGACAGCATAAATGGCAGCATCCATCCTGGACTAAGGCAAGAAGGCTGCAGCCCGTGATCAGGATGGGACCTAGGCAAGTCCATGCGTGAGCTTGCTCCTGCCATGAAGGATGGGAACATAATCTCCAAAGATGGATGAAAACACAGCCAATCCCATTTTCACGTGCGGTGCGCTGTGTAGCAGAAGTTGATACCACTGAGCTGAAGGCATGAGACGGATGGGATGCTCATGGTTCCATGGGAACGAGAACCATTACATCATGCTAATTTTAGAGACTGGGGATGGCTAGACATGATGCCTGACAAGCATTTGTTCCCAATGTTTGTAATTGTTATTCAGTCATTCCTCAACAGGACATGTTTGAGTTCTCTTTGAAAAAAATATGAAGAAAATCGTACAGAACATGAGGCGCTGGGAACCAAACACTTGATCACCGGCATTCAGTTAGCTACTCAGGAGGCTGTGGCAAGGGTGCAAATTTCAGGCCAGTCTAGGGGACTTAGGGGAACTGTTTCAAAATGAAGTTCAAAATCTAAAAACTGGGTTGGAGATGCAGCTCAGTGCTGGGCTGGTATACTTTTGACAGATCACAGGTTCTATGGGCAAAGCCATGTCAAGAGCAAGAGCAGAAAGGAACAAAATTGTAGCAACGTTTTTTTGATACAGATTAGATTTCTGGGGACATTTGAAAGAAACCGTTCAGATTCTCAACTCTTTACTCTTAGCTTCGACCAAGCCAGTATTCAAGTATTCATTTACCTTACCATTGCCTGTCACTTTATCATTATTATTATTATTGTTGTTATTATTATTATTATTTTTTACATGTGTGTGTGTTCCACCATGGAAGTCAGGGATGAAATCCAGTTTCTAGGACTATATAACATTCACTGCTGAGCTATCTTGCCAGTCCTTTTTCTGAGTAATATTTTTTCTTAAAAATATTTATTAACTAATATGAGGAGAGTGAAAGCCAGCACTCCTGTGTGGAGATTAGTGGACAATGATGTGGAATCAGTTCTCTCCTCTTTCTTCCTATGGCTTCCGGGGACTGAGCTCACAGGGGCTCACACGGTCAGCCGTATGCGCTGCTCTTTCCTGGATGAACCATCTCGCCAGCAGCTGAGTGATATTTCTGAAGAAGGTGACGGTGACTATTCCTGTTAATGCAGTTAATATCACTTCCATTATCTAACCTCATTTTAAAAGTAGTTGCTTCGAATTAGAATGCTAATTTAGCCAGTCAATTTACCTCAAGTTCTATTGCTCAAGACTTTTTTTTTTTTAAGTCATGCATACTTAACCAATTTTCTGTAGTTCCGAGTGGCTAGGTATTGCTTCCTGGTGAATTAGCAGTTGGTGAGTAGTGGAGTCTCTGAACAACCCTGCAAAGCACTAATGTGATATTTAATGAGGACACATCAGTCCACAGAAAGGTAGTCAATATAAATCAGTGTTTACAAAGTGTGATTAACTCTGAAATATTTCATCAATGCTGCGGTCCCAGGCAGCCTTCTATGCTAATTACTTGGAGCTGCGCATGTTTCTGGGGACTCGATGGACCCTGAGTACAGCAAGCATGGAACAGCAAAATTGCAATTATGCCCGGACCGTCTCCTATGACAATTTATGCGTTCAGTGCGATGACCTCCCCCTTCCCAAGAGGGCAATAAGCAGGATGCATTTTCATTAGGTTACTAATGCACTTAATCACGAGGGAAAAGGGTTAGGAAGTAGCCGGAGACCTTCGAGCACTCTGCAGCAGGGCTGATAGCGGAGACAGCCTTTATTTTTCAAGGCAGCTTCTTTACAAGCTGTGGCTGCCAAGAGCACACTGCATGCACTTCATTGTCTCAGAGAAACACTGAAAGTTTAGATCTTCCGTTTACGCGTCCTTTTTATTTCAGGTTGTTATATGTGGCCGAAAACGATACAGTCTACTGTTAAAACCATAACCTTGACTAGTTTGTTGTTATCACAATTCCATGGTGCTTGGAATTAATTATGCAAATACTGTCACAAGCATGATGAAGATGGGAATGGCAATAGCGGCCATTATTCCTTTCATCCTCACCCCCAGCATCATCAGGAAGCATCCTGGTGGGTAGCTCTGCCTGTCCAGCCTAGCAGGAAGGGCTGTGACATTGCTGCCCTGCATGACAGAGGCTTACAGCAATACCCTACATCACACTTTGGACCACTCAGCTCTGTGAGGTGTGTGCAGCCAGAAGGACAAGCAGATTGTCCCCAAACCATGAGTCACCATAGACCAGGACTGACAACCAGGATCCAGATGTGATGTTTTCTTTTCTATTTTTTTAAGGTTTATTTTATTTTATTTTATTTTATTTTATTTTATTTTATTTTATTT